GTGTCTGTGTGTGTGTGTCTGTGTGTTTGTGTGTGTATCTGTGTGTCTGTGTGTGTGTCTCTGTGTGTTTGTGTGTGTGTCTCTGTGTGTGTGTGTCTGTGTGTGTGTCTGTGTGTGTGTCTTTGTGTGTCTGTGTGTGTGTCTTTGTGTGTGTGTCTGTGTGTCTCTGTGTGTTTGTGTGTGTATCTGTGTGTCTGTGCGTGTGTCTCTGTGTGTGTCTCTGTGTGTGTGTCTGTGTGTGTCTCTGTGTGTGTGTCTGTGTGTGTCTCTGTGTGTGTCTCTGTGTGTGTGTGTCTGTGCGTGTTTTTGTGTGTGTGTGTCTGTGTGTGTGTATCTCTGTGTGTGTATCTGTGTGTGTCTGTGTCTCTATGTGTGTGCGTGTGGAGCGGTAGTGTAGTGGTTAGTGCGCAGCACTACGAACCTGGCGAGCCGAGTTCGATTCCTGCTCACGGCACAACACCAGTGACGATTATCTCAACCGGTCCTGGTCCTCCTCTCGGTCGACTCGGCCTCAAATGGGTACCTGGTTTGGTGTGTAAACATCGCCCTGGGGAGACAAAGACGGCCGGGCGTGAGCTGGCCGCGACCCTCCCCCCCCCCCCCTCGTGCGCTGTGCCGGCCTTGAAAGGTGCTCGCCAACAGCACTTGCCCCAACAGTCTGTTAAGGCTATACGGGGGACCTTTGTATTTTGTGTGGGCGTGGAGGTGCTGCTGCTGAACCCAGAGTGTGCCACTTTGAGGTGGGATCTTACCATCAGCCCCACCGAAACTCAGCACCTGCCTGGAGTTATGATGTGCCCACCAAACACTCCCCCTCCCAACTCCGCATTGGTGATGGAGCAGTTGTTGGAGATGGTAGAGAGTTGTCTGACAGTGTGCTCATGAGTGCCTCCCGTTTGACAGCAGAGATCCTGCTCCGAATCAGTCGAGCGACAACATCTTTTCCTCGGCTGCGTAACGCTGTGTGGAAGCTGCCCGGCCTGTCGCTCCACACGAAGCTTCGGGTCTTCTCGGCCACGGTCATTCCCTCCCCCTTCTCTGCGCTTGTGAAGCGTGGTCCCCTCTAATGGAACATCTTCGCCGGTTAGAAACATTCAGCCTGACCTGCCTACAATCCATCCTGGGTTTAACCAGGCTGGATTGTGTGAGCTCACAAATCCTTGAAAGATCTGGATATATGCCCATCAGTGAGCTCCTCCGACAGGCATGGCTGAGTTGGCTGGGTAATGTCGCCCGCATGCCCAGCCACCGCATGCCCAAACAGCTTCTCTTAGGCCAGACAGAGGGGGCTAAACGGACGCGGCATGAACTAGAGAAGAGATGGAATGATGTGGTACAGGAGGATATAGAGCTGAGTGGACTTGCCGATGGCTGGTACCAGCGGTGTCAAGATCGGCCTCTGTGGAGGAGGCTCGTGAAGGACGCTACTGGGCAGTTGCAGGCAGTCCAACTACAACGGAGAGCAGAGGATCGACGCTCACAACAACGAGCGGAGCGTCGGGTGGCTAAAGCACAGTAGATTGGCACAGTAGGGGGCACAGGTGGTGCATCGGCCACTCATCTCAGTCATCTTAGTCAGTCGACCCGTGGCATCTGCTGGGTCTGCCCCGTGACCTCCTGCCAGCGGGCGTTCGACACTTCACGTGGCCTCAACGTGCACCTAGCCTGGCACAAGCGACGTGGTGACGTCACCGCCACTTAGTGGCAGAATGGCGGTTGTTGTTTGTACGTGTGTCTGTATGTGTCTGTACGTGTGTTTGTACGTGTATTTGTGTGTGTCTGTACGTGTGTTTGGGTGTGTCTGTACGTGTATCTGTGTGTGTCTGTACGTGTATTTGTGTCTGTACGTGTTTGTGCGTGTCTGTATGTGTGTTTGTGTCTGTACGTGTGTTTGTGTGTGTCTGTACGTGTGTTTGGGTGTGTCTGTACGTGTGTCTGTGTGTGTCTGTACGTGTGTCTGTATGTGGTGACGTCACCGCCACTTAGTGGCGAATGGCGACGATTGTTGTGGTTGTTGTTGTACGTGTGTGCTCCGTTTCAGCTCAAAAACCCTGGACCCGGTCCCATCGGAGCAATTTGACACGAGGAGGCACATGTCCATCACCGTGAGTGGCGCACGCGAAATGCACAGACAGGGCTGCACGTGAGCTCATCAGTTCTATCTCCCGGCGCGGCAGCTGACGCAACGGCGCGCGTCCGCCTGCCACGCGTTAGCCGCGGTCAGCGCGAGCGGCAGGTCGCGCTGACCGCGGGGTAAAGTGTGCGTACTCCGCCTGGACAGCGTGGACGAGCAGGGCGAAATTCCGTCGACGGGAGGGCCTCTCCAGAGCTACCTCCAGAGGCCCTTCTGCCAGGGAAATGGCAATGAGAGTTGAGGGGGGGGGGTTTCTTTTTATCAAAAGGGTCCTGGTTCTGCGTTGGTTGGCCGGTACGATGGCGAGCTGTCAACTACCTCGCCTTTGTACGCAGGAGGTCGCGGGTTCGATCCCGACCCTGACGCCTGCTGCTGCTGCTGTAGATTTGGAGTTTCCGCATCTCTCTCTCATCATCACCACGGTGGCTATGAGATGTTAACTACCTCGCCTGGTACGCAGAAGGTCGTGGGTTCGATCCCGACCCTAACGCCTGCTGCTGCTGCTGTAGATTTGGAGTTTCCGCATCTCTCTCTCTCGCTCTCTCTCCCCGTGGTGGTGTGGATTTTTTCTCCGGTTGTCCTCCGGTTTTTCCCCTCCACATTGAGAATCGACGTCGCACGTCTAGGGTATTCGGCCGCCGTAAATGTGCTCACGATGACGCTGAGCCACTTTGGTGAGATATCGCTTGAGGCCAGGTCGCTTCTGAAAAAGAGTCCCAGTGGGCCTTGCCTGGTGAAATAAAAAAAAGTTTATTTATTTCATATTTTAGTTTTTTTATTTGAAGATGTTTTCAGCCAATCCATGATGAGTTTATTTTACATATACAGGGTGCTTAAAAATAAATGTTTTACACTTACGTACAGTGAGGGAAAAAGTATTTGATCCCTTGCTGATTTTGTACGTTTGCCCACTGACAAAGAAATGATCAGTCTATAATTTTAATGGTAGGTTTATTTGAACATTGAGAGACAGAATAACAACAACAAAACCCAGAGAAACGCATGTCAAAAATGTTTAAAAAATTATTTGCATTTTAATGAGAGATATTAGTATTTGACCCCTCTGCAAAACATGACTTAGTACTTGGTGGCAAAACCCTTGTTGGCAATCACAGAGGTGAGACGTTTCTTGTAGTTGGCCACCAGGTTTGCACACATCTCAGGATAACTTCAAATTTCCCGTGGTATTGTTGCAAATTGACATGTTTTTTTGAAGCACCCTGCGTATGAACGTGGGAGGAAGCTGGGAGATCATCGGTTCGATCTCCCGAGGAGGTGACATAGCGTGGAGCGATCTGCGAGCATTGTGCTCGCTGTGGGTGAGCAACGGTGATAGCTAAAAGATAACTCACGGTTCACCCCCCTCCCGCCCCCACCCCTTGTCTCTCCCCGTCTGCTCAGCCTCCCAAAAAGCACAACAGGCAATTTCACAAGCTCTTCAAAAGTATCTCTCACCAAGAGGAGCTCATCGATAGTGAGTCGTCGGCCTCTCTCCCATTGACGCGCTCGCCCCACCTGCCTTCGGGTTCCGTGTCGCTCCACCAATTATTATTTTTTTCCCCTCGAACTTGGCAGCACAAAGGGGGTGGTGGTGGTGGGGTCCCTTGCCCCAAAGGTCGGCAGTTCACCAGCACTGACTCGATAAAGCCTGACCCTGCCGATGGGACGCTGCACGTTTAAACCGGTTCCACAGCCTCGCTCGTCTTGAAAACAGTGCAGCGCTCCCGTGAGGAATGAATTCACATCGTGAACGGACTGCCCCCAATCGTGAACGGACTGCCACCAGTCGTGAACGGACTGCCCCCAGTCGCGAACGGACTGCCCCCGATCGTGAACGGACTGCCCCCGATCGTGAACGGACTGCCCCCGGACGTGAACGGACTGCCCCCAATCGTGAACGGACTGCCCCCAATCGTGAACGGACTGCCCCAAGTCGTGAACGGACTGCCCCCAGTCGTTAACAGACTACTCCAGTCATGAACGGACTGCCCCCGGTCGTGAACAGACTGCCCCAAATCGGATCGTTCAATGACGATCTGAAACTAATCTACACGACGGTTACTTCCGAAGTGGTCAAGTGGGATATCAAATCTCGACATCGATTTGTAATCTGCTGCGTTTCCCAAACATGCCATACGGAAGAAGAAGAAGACTCCCAGAAGGCCGTGCGGCTGATGGGTTGTGTAAGAAACACTTTTATGTTTTACGTGGAGAGACGGAGATACGCAAATGAGGAGACATGCTGGCGCCCGTGACGTCAGCCTGCAGGAGGGTTACCACCGGTCCGGGGAATTGGCACCTATTGAAACTAAACTATAAACATTTTTACATGACCAGGTAAGGCCCCACTGAGCTGTACACAGCTCTTTTTCAGAAGCGTGCTGGCTATCACAAATAATAGCTCAACGAAGTGGTGGCTCATCACCACGTGGAAATTTATAGCAGCCGAAAATTATATTCGCGTGATGCTGATTCTTAATGTGGAGAGAAAAACCGGAGGGCCTGGAGAAAAATCCACGCCACCACGGGGAGAGAGACACTGCAAACTCCAAATATACAGCAGCAGGGGTCAGAGTTGGGATCGGACCCACGACCTCCTGCATACCTGGCGAGGTAGTCAACATCTCCTAGCCACCGTGGTGCCTCTCTGTGTTTGGGTGGCGGGGAATGTATTTGAAGTCGAGATCTGCCGATGGTATTGTGTTAGCTGCTCAGTTTTGAGGACAGACCTCGACTGACCGAGCAGCGTGTACCGGTTCGCTCTGCGGTGTTAAAAGGTTGCATTGTAATTGATGGGTCAATGAATGACCGCCTACTCACCGCGAGCACGTGTGTTGCGTGTTGTGTTGCGTGTTGTGTGCGTCAGCGTACACGTGCGCCCTGCAAAAGGACATTGTTTACCAGGGCCGACTGTTTGTGTCCAAGTCTTGGATCTGCTTCCACGCCAACCTCTTTGGGAAAAGCATGAAGGTGCAGTGAGGGCTCCACTCCCTCCGGGATCCACGCACACGGGCATCAATTCGGCACGAGAGGGCACCATGGGGCACGAACGGGCACGAGTGGGCACGTACTCACTGGGGCGCCATGCGGGAGTGGCGCGTTCGCTCTCCGAGTGCCTGATGAGGGCCGTGCCGCTGTGAAACTAAAACAGTTTTTGTTATTTTCACCAGGTAAGGCCCCACTGAGCTGTGTAGTTGATTTTTCAGAAGCCACCTGGCTACCACAAATGACGGGTCTCAACGAAGTGTCTTATCATCACGTGGGAATTTATAGCGGCCAAATACATAAAATGGGGGAACCCGGAGAAAAGTCCACGTGACCACGGTGGAGAGAGAGAGACACGGGATCGAACCCATGACCTCCTGTACACCAGGCAAGGTAGTTAACATCTCCTAGCCACCGTGATGATGATGAGAGAGAGACGCAGAAAACTCAAAATATACAGCAGCAGCAGGCGCCAGGATCGGGATCGAACCCACGACCTCCTGCACACCAGGCGAGGTTGTCAACATCTTGTCACTGCGGCTGTATGCAGATCGCGGTGCCGGTCTGCGAGGTGACGGCCATTCACAAGGACAAGACGGCACGGCTCGTGCCCAACGCCGTGCGGATCACCACCACCACCGCCACGGTAACGACCACCACCACCACCACGGTAACGACCACCGCCACGGCAACGACCGCCGCCGCGCGACCTCGGCAACCGCGAAGGAGATGACCCTCGGCGCCGGGGAGTGCGCGAGCGGCCCGTTCACGTTTCTCGAGATTCCTGCCGAGCCGTCGTCTCCTCGCGGCCTCTCTGTGGGCCCCCCCCGCCACCCTCACCCGACGAGTGTCTTTGCCTGCTTCACGGCCGCGTTTGCCCCGTGCCCTGCCCGTGTCTCCCCAGCACACGTTCGTGTCCCTGCTGTCACGGGAGACGGCGCTGAAGGTCCTTCGCGCCGTGTGCACCCACCTGGAGGTGGGGACTCTGCCGAGCCGGGCCGCCCAAGCGGACCGGCCCCACCGCTCCACTCAGCCACCCAGCTCCACCGCTCCACCCCACCGCTCCACTCAGCCACGCCACTCAACCACCCAGCCCCACCGCTCCACCCCACCGCTCCACTCAGCCACGCCACTCAACCACCCAGCCCCACCGCTCCACCCCACCGCTCCACTCAGCCACCGCTCCACTCAGCCACCCAGCTCCACCGCTCCACCCCACCGCTCCACTCAGCCACGCCACTCAACCACCCAGCCCCACCGCTCCACCCCACTGCTCTGCTCAGCCATGCCACTCAACCACCCAGCTCCACCGCTCCACCCCACCGCTCTGCTCAGCCATGCCACTCAACCACCCAGCTCCACCGCTCCACCCCACCGCTCCACCCCACCGCTCCACTCAATCACTCCACGCCACCACTCCACCCCACCGCTCTACTCAGCCACGCCACTCAACCACTCCGCTCCATCGCTGGACTCAACCACTCTGCTCTGCCACTCCTCCACTCCACCCCACAAATCCACTCCACCACTCCGCTCCACCAGTCTACAACTCCACCACCCCACCATTCCACCTCACCACTCCATCTACCCTACCACCCATGTACACCTAGGCCTGCGTGCGTGTGCGTGTGTGTGTGTGCGTGTGTGTGTGTGCGTGTGTGCTCATAGAACTTTCCAGATGTACCCGACAGTCCGAAGCGTGGCCGCGACTCAGACTCCAGCGACAGCTCACGCAGCAACTCCCCCGGACGGAGACACGGTAGGGAAATGGAGCGGTCGCGCCAGGTAGTCTCCATAGAAAATTCGCAGCCAATGAAAAGGTAACGCCGCTGTTGGTGCCTGTAAGTGTCTGTAGTTGTCTGTTGGTGTCTGTTGTGTTTCTGTTGTGTTTCTGTTGGTGTCTGTAGTTGTCTGTAGGTGTCTGTTGTGTTTCTGTTGTGTTTCTGTTGGTGTCTGTAGGTGTCTGTAGTTGTCTGTTGTTGTCTGTAGGTGTCTGTTGTGTTTATGTTGTGTTTCTGTTGGTGCCTGTAGGTGTCTGTAGTTGTCTGTTGTGTTTCTGTTGTGTTTCTGTTGGTGTCTGTAGTTGTCTGTTGGTGTCTGTTGTGTTTCTGTTGTGTTTCTGTTGGTGTCTGTAGTTGTCTGTAGGTGTCTGTTGTGTTTCTGTTGTGTTTCTGTTGGTGTCTGTAGGTGTCTGTAGTTGTCTGTTGTTGTCTGTAGGTGTCTGTTGTGTTTATGTTGTGTTTCTGTTGGTGCCTGTAGGTGTCTGTAGTTGTCTGTTGTGTTTCTGTTGTGTTTCTGTTGGTGTCTGTAGTTGTCTGTTGGTGTCTGTTGTGTTTCTGTTGTGTTTCTGTTGGTGTCTGTAGTTGTCTGTAGGTGTCTGTTGTGTTTCTGTTGTGTTTCTGTTGGTGTCTGTAGGTGTCTGTAGTTGTCTGTTGTTGTCTGTAGGTGTCTGTTGTGTTTATGTTGTGTTTCTGTTGGTGCCTGTAGGTGTCTGTAGTTGTCTGTTGTGTTTCTGTTGTGTTTCTGTTGGTGCCTGTAGGTGTCTGTAGGTGTCTGTTGTGTTTCTGTTGTGTTTCTGTTGGTGTCTGTAGGTGTCTGTAGTTGTCTGTTGTGTTTCTGTTGTGTTTCTGTTGGTGTCTGTAGGTGTATGTAGGTGTCTGTAGTTGTCTGTTGTGTTTCTGTTGGTGCCTGTAGGTGTCTGTAGGTGTCTGTAGGTGTCTGTTGTGTTTCTGTTGGTGCCTGTAGGTGTCTGTAGGTGTCTGTAGTTGTCTGTTGTGTTTCTGTTGTGTTTCTGTTGGTGCCTGTAGGTGTCTGTAGTTGTCTGTAGTTGTCTGTTGTGTTTCTGTTGGTGCCTGTAGGTGTCTGTAGGTGTCTGTAGTTGTCTGTTGTGTTTCTGTTGGTGTCTGTAGGTGTCTGTAGGTGTCTGTAGGTGTCTGTTGTGTTTCTGTTGTGTTTCTGTTGGTGCCTGTAGGTGTCTGTAGGTGTCTGTTGTGTTTCTGTTGTGTTTCTGTTGGTGTCTGTAGGTGTCTGTAGTTGTCTGTTGTGTTTATGTTGTGTTTCTGTTGGTGCCTGTAGGTGTCTGTAGGTGTCTGTAGTTGTCTGTTGTGTTTCTGTTGGTGTCTGTAGTTGTCTGTAGGTGTCTGTAGTTGTCTGTTGTTGTCTGTTGTGTTTCTGTTGGTGTCTGTAGTTGTCTGTAGTTGTCTGTAGGTGTCTGTTGTGTTTCTGTTGGTGCCTGTAGGTGTCTGTAGTTGTCTGTAGTTGTCTGTTGTGTTTCTGTTGGTGCCTGTAGGTGTCTGTAGTTGTCTGTTGTGTTTATGTTGTGTTTCTGTTGGTGGCTGTAGGTGTCTGTAGTTGTCTGTAGTTGTCTGTTGTTGTCTGTTGTGTTTCTGTTGGTGCCTGTAGGTGTCTGTAGGTGTCTGTTGTGTTTCTGTTGTGTTTCTGTTGGTGCCTGTAGGTGTCTGTAGGTTTCTGTTGGTGTCTGTTGTTGTCTGTACGTGTCTTTAGGTGTCTCGAAGTACAGTCGTACCACCGATTAACGTCTCCCCCTTTCGCGGCGTTTCCCAAACACCTCGTCGCTGCATTAACACCACGACCCGATTCCCGCCAGCCTCGGCCCCGCACACTCACGTCGCTGACAGCATCATCCATTCCTTCCCATTATCCGTCGCCTCCACCACCACCAGCCACCACCTGTCAATCGCTTCAATTGACGTCGTTGAGATATTCGTCATCGCACCTTTCAGGAAGGCGTCCCCGACGTAAACCACCGGTGTGTTGCTGTTCCTGTCGGTGCCGGGAGGTGTCTCTGTAGGTATCTGTCGGTGTCTGTAGGTACGTGTTGGTGCCTGTAAGTGTGTCTGTAGGTATCTGTCGATGTCTCTAGGTATCTGTCGGTGTCTGTAGGTACGTGTCGGTGCCGGGAGGTGGGTCTGTAGGTATCTGTCGGTGTCTGTAGGTATCTGTCGGTGTCTCTAGGTGTGTCTGTAGGTATCTAACAGTGTCTCTAGGTACGTGTCGGTGCCGGGAGGTGGGTCTGTAGGTATCTGTCGGTGTCTGTAGGTATCTGTCGGTGTCTCTAGGTACGTGTCGGTGCCTGTAGGTGTGTCTGTAGGTATCTGTCGGTGTCTCTAGGTATCTGTCGGTGTCTGTAGGTACGTGTCGGTGCCAGGAGGTGGGTCTGTAGGTATCTGTCGGTGTCTGTAGGTACGTGTCGGTGCCGGGAGGTGGGTCTGTAGTTATCTGTCGGTGTCTCTAGGTACGTGTTGGTGCCTGTACGTGTATCTGTAGGTATCTGTCGATGTCTCTAAGTACGTGTTGGTGCCTGTAGGTGTGTCTGTAGGTATTTGTCAGTGTCTCTTGGTATGTGTCAGTGCCTGTAAGTGTACCTGTAGGTATCTGTCAGTGTCTCTAGGTACGTGTCGGTGCCTGTAGGTGTGTCTGTAGGTATTTGTCAGTGTCTCTTGGTATGTGTCAGTGCCTGTACGTGTATCTGTAGGTATCTGTCGGTGTCTCTAGGTACAGTGATGGGAAAAAAGTATTTGATCCCCTGCTGATTTTGTATGTTTACCCACTGACAAAGAAATGATCAGTCTATAACTTTAATGGTAGGTTTATTTGAACAGTGAGAGACAGAATAACAACAAAATCCAGAAAAACGCATGTCAAAAATGTTATAAATTGATTTGCATTTTAATGAGGGAAATAAGTATTTGACCCCCTCTCAATCAGAAATATTTCTGGCTCCCAGGTGTCTTTCATACAGGTAATGAGCTGAGATTAGGAGCACATTCTTGAAGGGAGTGCTCCTAATCTCAGCTTGTTGCCTGTATAAAAGACACCTGTCCACAGAAGCAATCAATCAGATTCCACAATCTCCACCATGGCCAAGACCCAAGAGCTCTCCAAGGATGTCAGGGACAAGATTGTAGACCTACACAAGGATGGAATGGGCTACAAGACCATTGCCAAGCAGCTTGGTGAGGTGACAACAGTTGGTGCGATTATTCGCAAATGGAAGAAACACAAAAGAACTGTCAATCTCCCTCGGCCTGGGGCTCCATGCAAAATCTCACCTCGTGGAGTTGCAATGATCATGAGAACGGTGAGGAATCAGCCCAGAACTACACGGGAGGATCTTGTCAATGATCTCAAGGCAGCTGGGACCATAGTCACCAAGAAAACAATTGGTAACACACTACGCCGTGAAGGACTGAAATCCTGCAGCGCCCGCAAGGTCCCCCTGCTCAAGAAAGCACATATACATGCCCGTATGAAGTTTTCTAATGAACATGTGAATGATTCAGAGGACAACTGGGTGAAAGTGTTGTGGTCAGATGAGACCAAAATGGAGCTCTTTGGCATCAACTCAACTCGCCGTGTTTGGAGGAGGAATGCTGCCTATGACCCCAAGAACACCATCCCCACCGTTAAACATGGAGGTGGAAACATTATGCTTTGGGGTGTTTTTCTGCTAAGGGGACAGGACAACTTCACCGCATCAAAGGGACGATGGACGGGGCTATGTACCGTCAAATCTTGGGTGAGAACCTCCTTCCCTCAGCCAGGGCATTGAAAATGGGTCGTGGATGGGTATTCCAGCATGACAATGACCCAAAACACACGGCCAAGGCAACAAAGGAGTGGCTCAAGAAGAAGCACATTAAGGTCCTGGAGTGGCCTAGCCATTCTCCAGACCTTAATCCCATAGACAATCTGTGGAGGGAGCTGAAGGTTCGAGTTGCCAAACGTCAGCCTCGAAACCTTAATGACTTGGAGAAGATCTGCAAAGAGGTTGGGACAAAATCCCTCCTGAGATGTGTGAAAACCTGGTGGCCAACTACAAGAAACGTCTGATGTCTGTGATTGCCAACAAGGGTTTTGCCACCAAGTACTAAGTCATGTTTTGCAGAGGGGTCAATACTTATTTCCCTCATTAAAATGCCAATCAATTTATAACATTTTTGACATGCGTATTTCTGGATTTTTTTTGTTGTTATTCTGTCTCTCGCTGTTCAAATAAACCTACCATTAAAATTATAGAATGATCATTTCTTTGTCAGTGGGCAAACGTACAAAATCAGCAGGGGATCAAATACTTTTTTCGCTCACTGTAACTGTTGATGCCTGTAGATGTCTCTAGGTACCTGTAGGTGTGTGTCTCGGCACCTGTCGGTCATAATAAACGTTTTTGGGTTAGATCGCGTTATTTATAAATGTGTCGCAGCCCTCCACCACCCAACACGGCCAATCAGTGTCTGAAGGTATCCGTGGTGCCTGCGCGTGTTTTTCTGCGTTCACGTTTCAGATCAACTATCGAGCGCGCAGGAGCCCAGCTTCGACAGCGTGGACGGAGACGGCGGCCTCTACTCCCACAATGCACCGGCGGTGGAGGGCGGCGCTGCAACCGCCACCCACGATGCACCGGGGCCCCCAAGCTCAGGCCGCAGCCTCGGCTGCATGCTCTGCACCTTGTTCCTCACGTGAGCCTCCCGGCGGCACGGTCACACAGTCAAAAACAAAGATCCCCACTCCCCCCCCCCCCCCCCCCCGTGTAGCCTGAACAGACTGTTGGGGCAAGTGCTGTTAATGAGTAGCAGCTATGAAGGCCGGCACGGTGCACGAGGGGGTGGGTGACCAGCACGACGCCCGACCGCCTTTGTCTTCCCGGTGGCGATGTTTACGCACCCACACCAGCCACTCATTTGAGGTCGAGTCGAGCGAGGGGAGGCCCAGGACCTGTTCAGATAATCGTCACCGGTGATCGATGTGAGGGTGAATCAAATTCGGGTCGCAAGGTTCGCAGTGCAGCGCACTGACCATTGCAGACGCACACACGCACACTCGCACACTCGCACACACGCACACACACACGCACGCACGCACGCACACACGCACACACGCACACATGCACACACACACACACACTCGCACACTCGCACACACGCACGCACACACGCACGCACGCACACACGCACACACGCACACACACGCTCGCACACTCGCAGACACGCACGCACACATGCACACACGCACACACGCACGCATGCACACATGCACGCATGCACACTCACGTGGCTTGCAACACACGGGGATGCCCCGGTCGCCCCACACAGCCGAGTGGAGCGCAGAGACCGATTCTTTGGACGTCTCTTGGGAGCCTCTGACGAGTGCGGCGTGTGGACACCGCCTCTGCCCCCCCCCCCCCCCCAGGACGGTGCTGCTGGTGGGCATCTCCTCGTACTTGACCTTGAGGATCGCCTCCCTGGAGAGGCACATTCATCTCATGGAGGCCACGCCAGGGTGAGTCGTCCGCTCATCCACTCGGCCCCCTCGGCCCCCTCGGCCCCCTCGGCCCCCTCGGCCCGCCCGCTCGTCCACGCCATCGCGGATCCACATGACAACCGCAGCGCGTCACAGGCTGGAGTTTGCGCGACCCGGCGAGAACTCAACAAACCAGGACAGAGGAGCGTCGTTTGCAGGCGTCAGTGACCCCGGCCCGCCAAAAATTCCAGAAGCAGAAACAAATGAAGGTAAAGTTACGGCAGTGAAGCGGACACGGGAGCAGGAAAAACACGAAACAACAACGGAAACCACCACCGTGTTCCGTGGCAAATTGAAGAACGCGGCGCGCTAACGTGAGTCGAGGTCAGATTGAATGAACGGAGTCAGCGACGGCTGCTTCTCGTGCGAGCATCGAGGGGCGGTGCTCGGTCTCCCGTGGGGGGCGAGGCTCTCCACAGAGCGACCACCGGCAATATCCCCCAAAGTGACGATGGGCTGAGTCAGCCAACACCCCCCAAAACCCCCACCCCCAAAGCCCCACCAACCCCCCCCCCCTCCCCCCCAAAACGCCCCCCTAACCAGGATTTGAGTTTTCCCAACCTTCGGGTTTGTGCGAGGCGCTCGCTCTGAGCAGGCCATGTGGCCGGCGGCGACTTCCACGCGCGTGCAGCGTGCGGTGTGCAGCTACAGAGTGCAGTGTGCAGCGTGCAGTGTGCAGTGTGCGGCGTGCGGTGTGCAGTGTGCGGTGTGCAGTGTGCAGTGTGCGGTGTGCAGTGTGCAGTGTGCAGTGTGCGGTGTGCAGTGTGCGGCGTGCGGTGTGCAGTGTGCGGTGTGCAGTGTGCAGTGTGCGGTGTGCAGCTACAGAGTGCAGCGTGCAGCGTGGGGAGCGGCAGCGCAGCGGCCAGCATCGGTGACGATTATCTGAGCTGGTCCTGGGCCTCCCATAGGTTGACTCAGCCTCAAATGAGTACCTGGTGCAGTGTGTGAACATCGCCACTGGGGAGACAAAGACGGCCGGGCGTGGTGCTGGCCACCCACCTCCTCGTGTGCCGTGGCCTGCCTTCATAGGCTGCTACTCGCTAACAGCACTTGCCCCTACAGTCTGTTCAGGCTACACAGGGGATCTACAATGACCAGAGCACCGGGCGGATAAAGCGCGGAGAGTTGGCTCAGTGGACAACACAGCTGGCGCGTCCATCAGCCAGCCATCTCAGTCAGTCAACCCATGGCACCTGGCTCTATCCCATGAGCTTCCTGCCAGCGAGGAGCCTTCGACACTTCACGTGGCCTCAAAGTGCACCTAGCGTGGCACAGGTGCCGTGGTGACGTCACCGCCACGTAGCGGTGAAGGCGGTTGTCGTTGCCTTATGATGTTGTTGTTGTTGTTGCCTGGTGCAGGCTCACCGAGCAGTGGGGCTGCCTCTCGTCCGAGCCGTCCGCCGACGGCCACTCGTGCCTGACCAGCGCCATCGCCACCGGCCTCAACGCCCTCGACAAGGTGGGGCCCTCCTCCCCCTACTCCTCCTCCTCTCCCTACTCCTCCTCCCCCTCCTCCTCCCCCTCCTCCTCCCTCCTCCTCCTCCTCCTCTCCCTACTCCTTCTCCTCCTCCTCTCCCTACTCCTTCTCCCCCTCCTCCTCCCCCTCCTCCTCCCTCCTCCTCCTCCTCCTCCCCCTACTCCTCCTCCTCTCCCTACTCCTCCTCCCCTCCTCCTCCCCTCCTCCTCCCTCCTCCTCCTCCTCCCCCTCCTCCTCCTCTCCCTACTCCTCCTCCCCTCCCCCTCCTCCTCCCCCTACTCCTCCCCCTACTCCTCCTCTCCCTACTCCTCCTCCCCTCCTCCTCCCCCTCCTCCTCCCCCTACTCCTCCTCTCCCTACTCCTCCTCCTCCTCCCCCTCCTCCTCCCTCCTCCTCCTCCTCCCCCTCCTCCTCCTCTCCTACTCCTCCTCCCCCTCCTCCTCCCCTCCTCCTCCCCTACTCCTCCCCTACTCCTCCTCTCCCTACTCCTCCTCCCCCTCCTCCTCCCCCTCCTCCTCCCCCTACTCCTCCTCTCCCTACTCCTCCTCCCCTCCTCCTCCCCCTCCTCCTCCCCTACTCCTCCTCCCCCTACTCCTCCTCCTACTCCTCCTCCCTACTCCTCCTCCCCCTCCTCCTTCCCCTCCTCCTCCCCCTACTCCTCCTCCCCCTCCTCCCTCCTCCTCCTCCTCCTCCTCCTCCTCCTCCTCCTCTCCCTACTCCTCCTCCTCTCCCTACTCCTCCTCCCCCTCCTCCTCCCCCTCCTCCTCCCCCTACTCCTCCTCCTACTCCTCCTCCCTCCTCCTCCTCCTCCTCCCCTACTCCTCCTCCCTCTACTCCTCCTCCCTCCTCCCCCTACTCCTCCTCCCCCTATGCCTCCTCCCCTACTCCTCCTCCCCCTACCCTCATCCTCCTCCTCCCCCTACTCCTCCTCCCCTACTCCTCCTCCCCTACTCCTCCTCCTCCCTCCTCCTCCTCCCCCTCCTCCTCCCCCTCCTCCCTCCTCCTCCTCCTCCTCCTCCTCCCCCTCCTCCTCCTCTCCCTACTCCTTCTCCCCCTCCTCCTCCCCCTCCTCCTCCCCCTACTCCTCCTCCCCCTACTCCTCCTCTCCCTACTCCTCCTCCCCCTCCTCCTCCCCCTCCTCCTCCCCCTCCTCCTCCCCTCCTCCTCCCCTACTCCTCCTCCCCCTACTCCTCCTCCTACTCCTCCTCCCTCCTCCTCCTCCTCCTCCTCCTCCCCCTACTCCTCCTCCCTCTACTCCTCCTCCCCCTACTCCCCCTACGCCTCCTCCCCTACTCCTCCTCCCCTACTCCTCATCCTCCCTCCTCCCCCTACTCCTCCTCCCCCTACTCCTCCTCCCCCTCCTCCTCCTCCCCCTACTCCTCCTCCCCCTACTCCTCCTCCTCCTACTCCTCCTCCCTCCTCCTCCTCCTCCTCCTCCCCCTACTCCTCCTCCCTCTACTCCTCCTCCCCCTACTCCTCCTCCCCCTATGCCTCCTCCCCTACTCCTCCTCCCCCTACTCCTCATCCTCCTCCTCCCCCTACTCCTCCTCCCTCTACTCCTCCTCCCTCCTCCTCCCCCTACTCCTCCCCTCCTCCTCCCCTACTCATCCTCCCTCCTCCTCCTCCCCCTACTCCTCCTCCCCCTACTCCTCCTCCCCCTCCTCCTCCTCCCCCTACTCCTCCTCCCCCTACTCCTCCTCCCCCCACTCATCCTCCCCCTACTCCTCCTCCCCCTACTCCTCCTCCCCTACTCCTCCTCCCCCTACTCCTCCTCCCCCTACTCATCCTCCCCTACTCCTCCTCCCCCTACTCCTCCTCCTCCCCCTACTCCTCTTCCCTCCTCCTCCTCCCTACTCCTCCTCCCTACTCATCCTCCCTCCTCCTCCTCCCCCTACTCCTCCTCCTCCCCCTACTCTTCCTCCCTCCTCCTCCCCCTACTCCTCCCCCTCCTCCTCCCCCTACTCCTCCTCCCCCTACTCCTCCTCCCCCTACTCCTCCTCCCCCTACTCATCCTCCCTCCTCCTCCTCCCTCTACTCCTCCTCCCTCCTCCCCCTACTCCTCCTCCCCCTATGCCTCCTCCCCCTCCTCCTCCTCCCCCTACTCCTCCTCCCCCTACTCCTCCTCCCCTCCTCCCTCCTCCTCCTCCTCCCCCTCCTCCTCCTCTCCCTACTCCTTCTCCCCCTCCTCCTCCCCCTCCTCCTCCCCCTACTCCTCCTCCCCCTACTCCTCCTCTCCCTCCTCCTCCTCCCCCTCCTCCTCCCCCTACTCCTCCTCCCCCTACTCCTCCTCCTACTCCTCCTCCCTCCTCCTCCTCCTCCCCCTACTCCTCCTCCCTCTACTCCTCCTCCCTCCTCCCCCTACTCCTCCTCCTCCTACGCCTCCTCCCCCTACTCCTCCTCCCCCTACTCCTCATCCTCCTCCTCCCCCTACTCCTCCTCCCCCTACTCCTCCTCCCTCCTCCTCCCCCTACTCCTCCCCCTCCTCCTCCCCCTACTCATCCTCCCTCCTCCTCCTCCCCCTACTCCTCCTCCCCCTACTCATCCTCCCTCCTCCTCCTCCCCCTACTCCTCCTCCCCCTACTCCTCCTCCCCCTCCTCCTCCTCCCCCTACTCCTCCTCCCCCTACTCCTCCTCCCCCTACTCCTCCTCCCCCTACTCCTCCTCCCCCTACTCCTCCTCCCCCTACTCATCCTCCCCCTACTCCTCCTCCCCCTACTCCTCCTCCTCCCCCTACTCCTCCTCCCTACTCCTCCTCCCTACTCCTCCTCCCTACTCATCCTCCCTCCTCCCCCTACTCCTCCTCCCCCTACTCCTCCTCCCTCCTCCTCCCCCTACTCCTCCCCCTCCTCTTCCCCCTACTCCTCCTCCCCCTACTCCTCCTCCCCCTACTCCTCCTCCTCCCCCTACTCCTCCTCCCTACTCCTCCTCCCTACTCCTCCTCCCTACTCATCCTCCCTCCTCCCCCTACTCCTCCTCCCCCTACTCCTCCTCCCTCCTCCTCCCCCTACTCCTCCCCTCCTCTTCCCCCTACTCCTCCTCCCCCTACTCCTCCTCCCCCTACTCATCCTCCCTCCTCCTCCCCCTACTGCTCCTCCCCCTACTCCTCCTCCCCTCCTCCCCCTACTCCTCCTCCCCTACTCCTCCTCCCCCTACTCCTCCTCCCCCTACTCCTCCTCCCCCTACTCCTCCTCCCCCCACTCCTCCTCCCCCTACTCCTCCTCCCCCTACTCCTCCTCCCCCTACTCCTCCTCCCCCTACTCCTCCTCCCCCTCCTCCTCCTCCCCCTACTCCTCCTCCCCCTACTCCTCCTCCCCTACTCCTCCTCCCCCTACTCCTCCTCCCCCTACTCCTCCTCCCCCCACTCATCCTCCCCCTACTCCTCCTCCCCCTACTCCTCCTCCCCCTACTCCTCCTCCCCCTACTCCTCCTCCCCCTACTCCTCCTCCCCCTACTCATCCTCCCTCCTCCTCCTCCCCCTACTCCTCCTCCCCCTACTCCTCCTCCCCCTCCTCCTCCTCCCCTACTCCTCCTCCCCTACTCCTCCTCCCCCTACTCCTCCTCCCCCCACTCATCCTCCCCCTACTCCTCCTCCCCCTACTCCTCCTCCCCCTACTCCTCCTCCCCCTACTCATCCTCCCCCTACTCATCCTCCCCCTACTCCTCCTCCCCCTACTCCTCCTCCCTACTCCTCCTCCCTACTCCTCCTCCCTACTCCTCCTCCCTACTCATCCTCCCTCCTCCCCCTACTCCTCCTCCCCCTACTCCTCCTCCCCCTACTCATCCTCCCCCTACTCCTCCTCCCCCTACTCCTCCTCCTCCCCCTACTCCTCCTCCCTACTCCTCCTCCTACTCCTCCTCCCTACTCATCCTCCCTCCTCCTCCTCCCCCTACTCCTCCTCCCCCTACTCCTCCTCCCCCTGCTCATCCTCCCCCTACTCCTCCTCCCCTACTCCTCCTCCTCCCCCTACTCCTCCTCCCTACTCCTCCTCCCTACTCATCCTCCCTACTCATCCTCCCTCCTCCCCCTACTCATCCTCCCTCCTCCTCCTCCGCCCGCCGTCAGCCCGCGGCAGCGCCATGCGTTCGCCGTGGCCGCGGTCGTGAACGGGGAGACGGAACTCGGAGATGGACCGTGTGGAGACGGAGCGCGTGGAGACGGAGCGCGGAGACGGAGCGTAGAGACGGAGCGCGTGGAGACGGAGCGCGTGGAGACGGAGCGCGTGGAGACGGAGCGCGTGGAGACGGAGCGTAGAGACGGAGCGCGTGGAGACGGAGCGCGTGGAGACGGAGCGCGTGGAGACGGAGCGCGTGGAGACGGAGCGCGTGGAGACGGAGCGCGTGGCCCGCTGGCCCCGGGCCGGGTGTGACGCTCGTGGCGTGCCACTCTCGTTGTCTCCAGGTGCAGGCGGACCTGCGCAGGCTGCTGGACGACTGGGAGTGACTCTTCCCACGCCGCTCCTCCTCGGCGCGGGATTCCGGCGGGCTGTAACGACCGCGTCATCTCAGAGGAGGGGGAGGAGTGGGGAGCGGAGTGGGGGGGGGGGTTCAGTCTTCACGGTCCCTGGTACCACGGATCCCTCCCCCCCTACCCGCTCAGTAGCCGTGACACCGGCTGGGGGGTGACCCTTGCAAGATGCTGCTCATTTCCCACACATCGGGACGTGTTGAAACGTCTCACTATTTTTTGCCATTTTAAAACTTAAGCACGTTCGCCCACAGGCGCGAAACATGCCGAGTCGTTTGAAGGTAACGTGGGAGACTGGGGACGAGTGGGCGCGGGTTGGCGGTCACCGTTGCTGAATTTTGGCTGTGGAAGGGCGGGCAGCCTCATCGCTCGCTCAACTCATTCAGCCGGTCATTCGCTCAGTCGCCCATTCGCTCATTCGGGCACGGATTCAGTCGCTCGCCCGTCACCACGCATCGTCGCTCAAGCGCTCGGTCACATCGTCGCTCGCCCGTCGGCTGCCGCGTGCAGGGCCCCTCGTGGCTGTGTGCCTTTGTCGGCCAATCGGGCGCTGGCGAGCTCGTCTGGTTTTTATTTGTATATTTTCTCGGGCGAAGAAGACGCCAATAAAGACGCGTCGGGAGCTTGAGAGGCTGCATTCGTTTTTCGCCTGCCACAGCGCTGATTGTGTCCCGCGCGGGCACACGCACGTGCACACGCACGGGCACACTTATGGGCACACGCACGGGCACACGCACGTGCACATGCACACGCACGGTCACACACGCACGTGCACATGCACGTGCACATGCACGGGCACATGCACTAGCCTGCCTTTCTTTAGCTGGCGCATCACCACTCGCGTTGAACTCCACGCACCCGGCAGTAACGGCAGCGCGCGTGTGGGGCCTTGCTAATACGGCAAGCCCTCCGCTCCACGGTAGATGCATTCCTGACAAGTGCCGGGCGTTAAAGTGAAAAACTCAGTCCGCAAAAATCTCTTTCCCCATAAATAAGGTAACTATAAAGTTTGGCGAAATCCGATGTGCACACAACGCAGTAAGATGGCGAACAGATAGCTGACGGCACGCCACCACGTTACCGTATCATTCCACGTCCTGTATCGCTGTACCGCTCAGCCGCGCAGCTCAAGAAGGTAGTTTGTTGTCGACCGCTCAATAGCCACGTTATGGCAGCGTGCCCTCCGCGTCATAACGGCGCGTGCCCTCCGCGTCATAACGGTGCGTGCCCTCCGCGTCATAACGGTGCGTGCGTTCCGCGTTGTGCAAGAAGTGCACCCTGATGGAAGAACCGCGTCAAAGCCAAAACGCGTTGCAGTGTGAACACCGCCACGCGTTAGAGCGAGAACTTGCCATCGCTACCCCAGGAATGTTCCTCCTGGACAAAGATCAACTGTAACGAAAACGGCGTTATGGGAGGCAGCGCTATCAGAGGCGTGCCCGTACCAGGGGACACTGCGTTGGCAGTGGTGCACAAATTAACCAAAAAAACGCAACACAACAACAACAGCGCAGCCTTACGAGGTATTGGTGTATAATATTTGACGGTGTGGGCAATGGCCCTAGTTCTATATAGTTGCCTCGATGTTTGTATCTCACATTGCATTTCTTAGATGTATCTGCCTTTAGGAATGTGGAGGGTAGCAGTGGATCCCTGCGACTGGGCTCAAGGGAGGTATGCAAGGTGTGTGTCTGTTGAACTTCGTTCACACCGTATGTAGCCAACCGTGCTAATCGGAGGTGCAGTTGTTGAGTCTATGGGCAATGTTGAGTCTATGGGTAGTGTTTAGTGTATGTGTAGTGAGTCCAACTCAGGAGCAGACGTTGTTCCTTTTAGAGGCAACACATTTATTGTAACACCATAACACAAAGGGGTAACAGCCCTTTTACCCGATACAGCCGAGGGTGGTGGCCACCCAGCTAACTACTCTATACAGAGGGGTTCCTGCTACGAAGAGTCGGACACTCAATCGGGTCTCCGACCACGTGGTTGCCTCGTAGGACGAAGAGCTTCCAGCTTGAGACGTATAGCTTCCCGCTTGTAGATGTTGAGCTTCCAGCTTATAGGTGTAGAGCTTCCAGCTTGTAGGTGTAGAGCTTCCCGCTTGTAGGTGTAGAGCTTCCCGCTTGTAGGTGTTGAGCTTCCCGCTTGTAGGTGTTGAGCTTCCCACTTGTAGGTGTTGAGCTTCTAGCTTGTAGGTGTTGAGCTTCCCGCTTGTAGGTGTAGAGCTTCCAGCTTGTAGGTGTTGAGCTTCCTGCTTGTAGGTGTTGAGCTTCCCGCTTGTAGGTGTAGAGCTTCCAGCTTATAGGTGTAGAGCTTCCAGCTTGTAGGTGTAGAGCTTCCAGCTTGTAGGTGTAGAGCTTCCTGCTTGTAGGTGTTGAGCTTCCCGCTTGTAGGTGTTGAGCTTCCCGCTTGTAGGTGTAGAGCTTCCAGCTTGTAGGTGTTGAGCTTCCAGCTTGTAGGTGTAAAGCTTCCAGCTTGTAGATGTTGAGCTTCCAGCTTGTAGGTGTAGAGCTTCCAGCTTGTAGGTGTAGAGCTTCCAGCTTGTAGGTGTTGAGCTTCCAGCTTGTAGATGTTGAGCTTCCAGCTTGTAGGTGTAGAGCTTCCAGCTTGTAGGTGTTGAGCTTCCAGCTTGTAGGTGTTGAGCTTCCAGCTTGTAGGTGTAAAGCTTCCAGCTTGTAGATGTTGAGCTTCCAGCTTGTAGGTGTAGAGCTTCCAGCTTGTAGGTGTAGAGCTTCCAGCTTGTAGGTGTTGAGCTTCCAGCTTGTAGATGTTGAGCTTCCAGCTTGTAGGTGTAGAGCTTCCAGCTTGTAGGTGTTGAGCTTCCAGCTTGTAGATGTTGAGCTTCCAGCTTGTAGGTGTAGAGCTTCCAGCTTGTAGGTGTTGAGCTTCCAGCTTGAGACGTAGAGCTTCCCGCTTGCAGGTGTTGAGCTTCCCGTTTGTAGGTGTTGAGCTTCCAGCTTGTAGGTGTAGAGCTTCCAGCTTGTAGGTGTTGAGCTTCCCGTTTGTAGGTGTAGAGCTTCCAGCTTGTAGATGTTGAGCTTCCCGTTTGTAGGTGTTGAGCTTCCAGCTTGTAGGTGTTGAGCTTCCCGTTTGTAGGTGTTGAGCTTCCAGCTTGAGACGTAGAGCTTCCCGCTTGCAGGTGTTGAGCTTCCCGTTTGTAGGTGTTGAGCTTCCAGCTTGTAGGTGTAGAGCTTCCAGCTTGTAGGTGTAGAGCTTCCAGCTTGTAGGTGTAGAGCTTCCAGCTTGTAGGTGTTGAGCTTCCAGCTTGAGACGTAGAGCTTCCCGCTTGTAGGTGTTGAGCTTCCCGTTTGTAGGTGTTGAGCTTCCCGCTTGTAGGTGTAGAGCTTCCAGCTTGTAGGTGTTGAGCTTCCAGCTTGTAGGTGTAAAGCTTCCAGCTTGTAGATGTTGAGCTTCCAGCTTGTAGGTGTAGAGCTTCCAGCTTGTAGGTGTTGAGCTTCCAGCTTGTAGATGTTGAGCTTCCCGTTTGTAGGTGTAGAGCTTCCAGCTTGCAGATGTTGAGCTTCCCGTTTGTAGGTGTTGAGCTTCCAGCTTGTAGGTGTTGAGCTTCCCGTTTGTAGGTGTTGAGCTTCCAGCTTGTAGGTGTAAAGCTTCCAGCTTGTAGATGTTGAGCTTCCAGCTTGTAGGTGTAGAGCTTCCAGCTTGTAGGTGTAGAGCTTCCAGCTTGTAGGTGTTGAGCTTCCAGCTTGTAGGTGTTGAGCTTCCCGCTTGTAGGTGTAGAGCTTCTAGCTTGTAGGTGTAGAGCTTCCAGCTTGTAGGTGTTGAGCTTCCAGCTTGCAGGTGTTGAGCTTACCGTTTGTAGGTATAGAGCTTCCAGCTTGTAGGTGTTGAGCTTCCAGCTTGTAGGTGTTGAGCTTCCCGTTTGTAGGTGTAGAGCTTCCAGCTTGTAGATGTTGAGCTTCCCGTTTGTAGGTGTTGAGTTTCCCGCTTGTAGGTGTAGAGCTTCCAGCTTGTAGGTGTAGAGCTTCCAGCTTGTAGGTGTAGAGCTTGTAGGTGTAGAGCTTCCAGCTTGTAGATGTTGAGCTTCCCGTTTGTAGGTGTTGAGCTTCCCGCTTGTAGGTGTTGAGCTTCCAGCTTGTAGGTGTTGAGCTTCCAGCTTGTAGGTGTTGAGCTTCTAGCTTGTAGATATTGAGCTTCCAGCTTGTAGGTGTAGAGCTTCCCGCTTGTAGGTGTTGAGCTTCCCGCTTGTAGGTGTAGAGCTTCCAGCTTGTAGGTGTAGAGCTTCCAGCTTGTAGGTGTTGAGCTTCCAGCTTGTAGGTGTAGAGCTTCCCGCTTGTAGATGTTAAGCTTCCCGCTTGTAGGTGTTGAGCTTCCAGCTTGTAGGTGTTGAGCTTCTAGCTTGTAGATATTGAGCTTCCAGCTTGTAGGTGTTGAGCTTCCTGCTTGTAGGTGTTGAGCTTCCGCTTGTAGGTGTTGAGCTTCTAGCTTGTAGGTGTAGAGCTTCCCACTTGTAGGTGTTGAGCTTCCAGATCGTAGATGTTGAGCTTCCAGCTTGTAGGTGTTGAGCTTCCCGCTTGTAGGTGTAGAGCTTCCAGCTTGTAGGTGTTGAGCTTGTAGGTGTAGAGCTTCCAGCTTGTAGATGTAGAGCTTCCAGCTTGTAGGTGTTGAGCTTCCCGCTTGTAGGTGTTGAGCTTCCAGCTTGTAGGTGTTGAGCTTCCAGCTTGTAGGTGTTCAGCTTCAAGCTTGTAGATGTAGAGCTTCCAGCTTGTAGGTGTTGAGCTTCCAGCTTGTAGGTGTAGAGCTTCCCGCTTGTAGGTGTTGAGCTTCCCGCTTGTAGATGTTGAGCTTCCTGCTTGTAGGTGTAGAGCTTCCAGCTTGTAGGTGTTGAGCTTCCCGCTTGTAGGTGTTGAGCTTCCAGATTGTAGGTGTAGAGCTTCCCGCTTGTAGGTGTTGAGCTTCCATCTTGTAGGACGTAGAGCTTCCAGCTTGTAGATGTAGAGCTTCCAGCTTGTAGGTGTTGAGCTTCCCGCTTGTAGGTGTAGAGCTTCCAGCTTGTAGGTGTCGAGCTTCCAGCTTGTTGGTGTAGAGCTTCCCGCTTGTAGGACGTAGAGCTTCCAGCTTGTAGGTGTAGAGCTTCCAGCTTGTAGGTGTTGAGCTTCCCGCTTGTAGAATTCAGCGACCCCGGTCCCTCTCAGGGACCTGCCTTATATCCCTCTACGGTCGGGGCCGCTCCGCCGTCGGCCCGGCCCGCCTTCTCGAGCATTCTTGTTCTTTCTCAATCCTTCTCAAGAGCTCTCCCTGGACACGTGATCACCCACTAGCCCCCCCCCCCCCCCCCCCCCACCTGGGGCCCCTTGTGTGGACTCTCCGGATCACGTGTCTACGGGGTCAACCAGAGTGCCATGGCCCGGGGCAACCCTGCCCCTGGGCTGACGCTCACCCACTCCACCTCGTGGGAGCCCCCACCACACGCTGTGCGTGGTGCCCGCACTATCCCGGTGCTCACCAAGCCCCGCTAGGGCTGGTGCTACACACAGCCACCCACACGGTGCTGTCCACGCTAGGGCTGGTGCTACACACAGCCACCCACACGGTGCTGTCCACGCTAGGGCTGGTGCTACACACAGCCACCCACACGGTGCTGTCCACGATGTAGGAACATCGA